AAGGGTTGTGTTTTTAACCTAAATCATATTCGATTATTCCGACACATATCACAGTTGTTATTCTATATACGACCATAATAGAGTTTGTCAGTAACGTCCTAAGCTCCATCCTCTGTCTGCCTGGTGACTACTCGTTGTCGGTGTTGTACTACTGTTGTCAACTTCGTTCTACACGCCTCAAAAAACCGATCACACATATTGCATCACAGAATAGTATTCCGTAGCATCAGGAAGGTACTATCACCGGAATACTGAATATAAACTCTGTCAAAAAAGAAACGCAACCCCTGTATTTTAGAGATTTTGATCTGAAGTTTTAAGACGACACAGCATTTTTATTATTTAAGACAGAAGTCTGAAATTTGGCAGAATAATAACCAAGATGGGCATGTTTAAAATTGTCATTTCAAAAGTCATCTCACAGACACCAGTTTGTCACCAGGGGGGCGTCTTTCTCAGTATCTCGTATGAGCACCACGAGCTGCAATCACTGCACGGCATCTCCTTGGACAAGAACGGATAAGACGCCGGATTCTTTCCTGGGGAATGGCTCTCCACTCCTCCTGCAGTGCAACGCCGAGCTGTTGCAGCGTCTGTGGCGGCGGCTGACGTTGACGTACGCGTCGACCTGAGTATCCCACAGGTGTTCAATAGGGTTGAGGTCTGGTGATTTAGAGGGCTATGGCAAGACATTGACGTTGGAATTCTGCAGAAAGTTCATTGTTGCACGTGCAGTATGAGGCCGGGCGTTGTCTGGTTGAAAAATCTGTGTCTGTTGGTCAATAATCGGGAGAAGGTGAGGCTGTAATACGTGGTTGATGTAACGTTGGGCTGTCAGATTCCCTTCAACGATCACCAAGTCTGATTTCTGGTTGTATGAGATGGATCCCCAAACCATAACGCTTTCTCCGCCAAATCTGTCCCCCTGTCGGACGCAGATGGGCGCAAAACGTTCATGACGTCTCCTATACACACGTTTTCTTCCGTCGTGATGTTGCAAAAGAAAACTGGATTCATCAGAAAACCAGATGCGCCTCCAGTTTTGTAAAGTCCATATCCTTACGTTGTTGCACCACCTGAGTCGTCGGCGGAGATGTAGGGGGCGTAGTACAGGTCCAACAACTGGTCTACAGGCACGTAAACCCGCTCTTTTCAGACGGTTCCTAATCGTTTGAGCTGACACTCTCCTCAAACCTGGTATTTGTGTGGCAGTCACGGTTGGTAGGGCATGCCGATTACGCAGGTGATGGACCCGGATGTACCGATCTTGAAGGGGGGTCGTGATTCTTGGCCTTCCACTTCTCGGGCGATCGTTGGTCAAATTGAAGTTGTTGTAGCGGCTCCAAAGTCGGGATATCGTTGTTTTGTGAACATTTAGGTGCCGTGCAACAGTTCCAAAACTTTCTCCGGCTTGAACACGACCAATGGCGATATTTCGGTCGGCAGCACTCAATCGTGGCATTTTTAACACAGCTTTCGGCGACAAATGAATGAATATAATACGAAAGCACATGGGCTTTTATACACCCCTACATTAACTGCCATTTTCATGATTTGCATGTGTTTTTTTTGTGCGAAGTCACCATGAGGGTCATTTCATGCGTTGTGACGGAATAAGCAATAAAATACACTTATGCGTACAAATGCAGTTGTTTGGATGGTAATCTTCATTAATTACGTGTATAATTTCAATACATTCGAATAAAATTTAGTTTGGAAGCAATAACTTCATTCAAACGAATTTTTCATATCTGAGGACAGGGGTTGCGTTTCTTTTTTGACAGAGTTTAGTTTATTCTTCACAACTCGCCAACACTACTGCCTATTGCCTTGCTTGTGTGTGTGACCGATCAATGGAAACTCGTGTCATTAAACGTCTCGCTTGTGTACCAGCTGCATTATGGGTATATGTATTGCTGTAGCAGGATAGGTTACAATCTCGGTGTTCAACGAATAGAAGACAATTCAAGTCAATTGTCTAAATAACTCACATTTGTACAGTATGTCGCTCAATATCCCTATAAAATATGCAAATGCAGGTTAGACTCGACAGTACAAAGTAAATGGTGCCTTTGATGGATCATATGTGTACCATGGAACGACTAGATGAGGTTAGCGAAACAAACTAAATATCACTTTATGCATCCAATGACACGTGACACATACCATCTTAACAGGTGGCATCACACGATACATATCACGTGACGCATCATATATCACATAACACGATACACATCCTGTCAGTACTGGTTTCCCCAGGCATTTTAGCATTTATTTGCCGCCCTGCCCTTCTATGATTACAGAAAACTGATATTACCATTTGGTGCGTTTTAGTTTCTATTTAATGTTGAAGTTCAGTGAAATATCTGTGCCCTTTCAGTCTTTGAGAAACATATGTATGAACAATTTAACATAATACTTGGAAATCTGCAGGACAGTTTTGGAACTTTTTTCACCTTTCGGATCATAGGGGAAACACTAATCATCTCTAGCACGACACAGGATACATGGCACATAATACATGATACATAATGATACATGGCACATAATACATGATACATGATACATAATGCATGATACATAATGATACATGATGCTACATGACACATAATGATACATGGTACATGATGATACATGATACATAATGATACATTATATATGATACATGATACCTGATACATGACACATAATACATGGTATATGATACATGATGATACATGACACATAATGATACATGATACATAATGATACATTATACATGACACATAATACATGATACATAATGATACATGATACATAATGATACATGACATATGATGATACATGATACATAATGATACATTATACATGATGATACATGATACCTGATACATGACACATGACACATAAAACATGATGCATGACATATGATGATACGTGATACATAATGATACATGATACATAATGATACATTATACATGACACATGACACATACTACATGATACATAATGATACATGATACATAATGATACATGACATATGATGATACATGATACATAATGATACATTATACATGATGATACATGATACCTGATACATGGCACATGACACATAATACATGATGCATGACATATGATGATACGTGATACATAATGATACACGATACATAATGATGCATGATACATAGCGCAGAATTCACAACATATCACGTGAAGCAGTTCACATAAAGCATATCAGAACTTGTACATGACGCACATCACATAATACTATATGGCACACACACACAATGTAAATCCCACCAGCAAGACATCACATACTACACATCATATATAACATATTAATTGATATCTGTCACAGACTGCATATCATAGGAAATATCAGATATATTAAAAGGCACATAGCTTATGCTATACCACATACCACGTGACTCAGGAAGCACCAGCAACACGTAAGTACAATGTATGAAGCCCATTTCTGGCGTCCAAAGCTGTGATTTTGCTGGAATATTCCTAAAAGTGTCGTAAAAATAAACTCACTCACTCACATATCATATATCATATGGCACAGACATGTCCATAAGATATCACGCCTATCATATAACACGGGAAACGATGTTTATCCTCCCAAACTGTGTTCCACAGGAGATATCGCTGTGTGAGATCAAACGATATCTCCTAGGAGATATCGTTTTGACAGTAGATTTTGTACAATGCCCTGACAATGCTATGACGTCATGTACTTGATGACGTCACAATGCTATGACATCGCTGCACTGCAAGTCTAATGGCAGTACCATGTTCAGAGATGTACATTTTTCATTGAAAATTAATGAAGAGTGATTTTGGGATGATAAATAGAATCTCACCCTCGTGTCTTCTGATATCAAATATATCAACACTCGTTGATAAAGTTAAAAACATCCTCGGCAAGCCTCGGACATTTGTAACTTTATCAACTCGGGTCGATATAATTGATATCAGAAGACACTTGGGTGAGATTCTCTATATATCATTGGACATTGTTGTTGCTGACATTCTGCCACGTTGACGAATCTTGAAATACTTTCAAAATATAAACAAGGATTCAACTATCTCACGTTTTCATTCAAACGCCCTTGACATTTCAACAAAAGCACAGTTTCAAGCAAATAAGGAATAGAAAAGTAAACCCAACCAGCTCGATGAATTTTCTATTTTCTAATATCAGGAAACACAATCAAAATATGTTGTTGTTTATTCTCACTTAAGCGTTATACAATGTTAATGTAAGTACCATTTTATTTAGATACCATTTCATGACAACGCTTATTATCCTAGTTAATATTTTGAAACTATTATAACACCGATTGTGCATGTTTTCATTCAGGACTACATATATTACTTCCTCACAACAAGCATGGCCTGGTTGATTTTTCTGTGCTTGGTTTGCTCACTTATCTCCACGCAAGGTAAGAAGAAAGAAGCACAGTTTACACAAGTAACTCAAGTGGACCTTAATGTAATGTTAGAAAGATTTATCGGGCAGGGACATAGGAGAAGATGTCGGTGTAATTTTAAAGTTTCCAACAAAAATGTCCTTGCAACCCATGCTACTCGTAAAAGGCGACTATCGGCATCAGGGTGGTCAGGGTCGCTGATTTTGTTACACATGTCATCGTATCCAGTTGCGTAGATCGATGCTCATGATGTTGATCACTTGATTGTCTGAACTCCGTTATTTACAGACTGATACATATAACCGGAATATTGCCGACCTTGGCGTTAAAGCAGAAATAAGTTAACCGTTTCACTCAACAAACACGAAAAGCATAAAGTGTTCTACGTTAATCCGTTCATGACACAATCTCGGTGATTACATTTCATTCTTCTGCAGCCACACGCTCTGCACTTCCAGCTCTCTCCTGCAAGGACAACCAGCACTGTTCCGACTGTGACGGAAAAGGGCATTGTCTGGAGTGTAAACTTGGGTATTTCGGTCGGAGGTGCAACGGTTTATGTAGTGAGAACTGTTTTAACAAGAAATGCACAGAATCAGGAAATGGCGATATTAACTGTACTGACGGATGTTTCACGGGACACCAAGGTTTGAGCTGCAACACACCATGTGACAGACAATGGGGTAGCTGCACAGCATGTCCAGGTGGTTGTGATGGAGGATATTGTCAGCTGGGCTCATCCTGTGTGTCTGGATGCATAGACTCCTACTACGGGTCTGACTGTAAGTCGTGTTCCAAACTATGCAAGATCTGCAACAGATCGACAGGGGGATGCATTGAATGCCATCCTCCATTTGAGGGGCAGAACTGTGGATGTGAAAACTGCACTGGATCTGGCGAAGATTGTAAGGAGGGAGGCTGTAAGAATGACCCACGTGAGTATTTGCATAAGTAACATATGTTAATCTACATTGTCGGTTAAATATTGATACTGTACTAGAAAAATAGAATACTAAAGCTTCTTCTAAGTAGAAGATAAATGTAACTGACTGTGGGACCATTTGACTACCATAGGTTTCTTCACTGTCAGTGTACTTCTACTCTTGCACAGTGGCTTGTCTCACACGTTTAGTGTCAGTGTTCTATATTTGTTTGACAGAAGGTAATGGTGGTCAGACAAGGAGTCTACTGTCTGGACAGTTTCACACGTTTAGTGTCAGTGTTCTATGTTTGTTTGACAGAAGGTAATGGTGGTCAGACAAGGAGTGTACTGGCTGGACTGTTTCACACGTTTAGTGTCAGTTTTCTATGTTTGTTTGACAGAAGGTAATGGTGGTCAGACAAGGAGTGTACTGGCTGGACTGTTTCACACGTTTAGTGTCAGATTTCTCTGTTTGTTTGACAGAAGGTAATGGTGGTCAGACAAGGAGTGTACTGGCTGGACTGTTTTATACGTTTACTGGTCAGACTGGCTGGACTTCTCTGATTTCTCTGTTTGTTTGAAAGCAGGTAATGGTGGTCAGACAAGGAGTGTACTGGCTGGACTGTTTCATACGTTTAGTGTCAGTTTTCTGTTTGTTTGACAGCAGGTAATGGTGGTCAGACAAGGTGTGTACTGGCTGGACTGTCCCACACGTTTAGTGTCAGTGTTCTATGTTTGTTTGACAGAAGGTAATGGTGGTCAGACAAGGAGTGTACTGGCTGGACTGTCTCACACGTTTAGTGTCAGTTTTCTCTGTCTTCTTGACAGAAGGTAATGGTGGTCAGACAAGGAGTGTACTGTCTGGACTGTTTCACACGTTTAGTGTCAGTTTCATCTGTTTGTTTGACAGAAGGTAATGGTGGTCAGACAAGGAGTATACTGTCTGGACTGTTTCACACGTTTAGTGTCAGTTTTATGGGTCTGTTTGACAGAAGGTAATGGTGGTCAGACAAGGAGTATACTGTCTGGACTGTTTCACACGTTTAGTGTCAGGTTCTTCTGTTTGTTTGACAGAAGGTAATGGTGATCAGACAAGGTGTGTACTGGCTGGACTGTCCCACACGATTAGTGTCAGTTTTCTCTGTGTGTTTGACAGAAGGTAATGGTGGTCAGACAAGGAGTGTACTGTCTGGACTGTTTCACACGTTTAGTGTCAGTGTTCTATGTTTGTTTGACAGAAGGTAATGGTGGTCAGACAAGGAGTGTACTGGCTGGACTGTTACATACGTTTAGTGTCAGTGTTCTCTGTCTGTTTGACAGAAGGTAATGGTGGTCAGACAAGGAGTGTACTGTCTGGACTGTTTCACACGTTTAGTGTCAGTTTCTTCTGTTTGTTTGACAGAAGGTAATGGTGGTCAGACAAGGAGTGTACTGGCTGGACTGTTTCACACGTTAAGTGTCAGTGTTCTATGTTTGTTTGACAGAAGGTAATGGTGGTCAGACAAGGAGTGTACTGGCTGGACTGTTTCATACGTTTAGTGTCAGTGTTCTATGTTTGTTTGACAGAAGGTAATGGTGGTCAGAGAAGGAGTGTACTGGCTGGACTGTCCCACACGATTAGTGTCAGTTTTCTCTGTCTGTTTGACAGAAGGTAATGGTGGTCAGACAAGAAGTGTACTGACTGGACTGTTTCACACGTTTAGTGTCAGTGTTCTATGTCTGTTTGACAGAAGGTAATGGTGGTCAGACAAGGAGTGTACTGGCTGGACTGTTACTCATGTTTAGTGTTAGTTTCCTCTGTTTGTTTGACAGAAGGTAATGGTGATCTGACTAGGACTGTACTGACTGGGCTGTTGGTGTCACTAGTACTACTTGTGTCCGGCATCTTGGTGACACTTTGCCTGCAAGCGTTTGCCGAAACAAAGGTTAGTGTGTTTCGTGTTTTGTTCTCCACACTAAACAGTGACACACGACTCATATAGTTACATCAATAGCAACACACTGACAATGCTGTTCAGTGGTGGAAATACGTGTATAATATTAGACAGTTTAACAACCCTGCAGGTTCTATTGTGCAAGACCAATGCAGGTTAATGATTTGGTATATGTGATTTGATCATTGGCATCATCTTGATTGCTGCTTGTTAGTGTTAAATGAGAGGAGAATTAGAATCAACAATCTCACCATGGACGCACAACATAAGGTATACCACCATAACATTCATCACAATTTTCGCCGATAATGAGGAATCAATTTGGTGAGTATGAGCTGGCTGGCAATACCCTGGTATGATTGCGTTTTGGATTGCACTCATCCTGACTTTGGCTCACCAATGTATACACTTATTTGAGTCGATTGGGACATATCAAATTTGGATATTGCATATATACATATAGACTATTTAGCACAAACCACAAATCACATCTTAAGTTCATTCGTCTGGCGACGAAACAACAATATTAGATAAAGTTAAACAACGGTGGTCACGGAGATTCCTAGGGCGCGTGAACGTGTTTTGTAGCTTTATGGTAGAGAGTTTCTAAGACTACAACCCTGCTCTGCGACGAAGCACACGAAACAAGTCCCGCCTTAGGCAGGTTAGTTTGTTCAACATGTCCTCTGTTCTCCCAGAAGAAACTGGGTACGAGTTGGGAAAAGTCATGTGACCTTTAACCTTCACGCCTCACAGACAGCTTGGATTTTCTGGGGGGAGAAATGTCCATTATGTTGTATTCGCGTGAGACGTGGGGTGTGACCTTATTATCATTATTATGTACGTTTGAGTGAGTGAGTGAGTGATGTAAAGTCACATCAGCATTATTTCAGTCATATCGTGACTAAAACAAGTTATAAATACATGATGAATACATTTAGATTATAAAACCTGTCCACGAAGGACAATAACAAACTATCACCGATACAATTTCAATCTAGCATTTATCTCTACAACTGTATTTCTATCAGAACAATACAAGACAACAAAGTGTGTACATATTCCACATCTGTGTGTTGCAGGGAGCAGGTTGAACAGAGGGAACAGATGCGTCAAGATGAGGTGGCCTATCTGGAGTATTTACCGTCAGTGCAGGGCGATATCATCACTACTAACCGACATTCCGATCACGCCTATTATGATGTTGTGGATGGTGAGATGGGTCCCACCATTGTTTTCCTCTGACAATGTATTATTCCCATCTATGATACTCACAGTTTGATAAGGATCGCCACTGTAAAACGTTAGCTTCAAAGTGTTAGCTTCAAATGAAGTGAGACGATTCTGTCACGATTCATCAACAGGACTGTGTCCAGCACCACGGGCTCATCGTCCTCATAACAACGTGCGCCTGCTATCACACCGGTTAATTGTGTATCGGGATTTAACCTAAGTCTGTATACCCCTTTGTATGCCTTGAAAATGTGATCCTTAGCGAAACAGTAGTATACGTACAACTGAATCAAGCTTTCAAATTCAGAGGCAACAGTTTGGAATAAAACACTGACTTCTTTGATGACACAGTATATGATACGATGTACAGGCATAGCTGCATTGGTGCCAGTTGCCAGAAGTATTTGTGTCTTTAGTATTACGAAGTATTCCAGCTTTGCGACGGCTGTCGTTACACAATCGCGTTCCCAACCCCTCATTCACTCACTCACTCACTGTTTCACGCATTCTGTGTCTGTCTGTCTCTCTTCCCGCTCCCCAACGCAGTCGCTATCTGTGGATGATGACAATGGTGAGCGTCAACGATAAAACTGTCCGACATGACATTGTTCTCTGTTGAAAGAAGGCGCCAGCAATAGGACGAGTGTAAAATAGCAGGGCAATGGAAACCTGCATTTAATGTGCACGAGTCACAATTCACTCAACTTCAACGTAACCTTAAAATAGCAGGTCACTTTGTGCTGCAATAACAGGAAGTATTAGGGCAATAACACCATGCGTGGGGATTGAATTTACTCTGTGCAAAGTGCAGATAACTAATACTTGCTTTGAAAGAACCTCCTTTTGTAGCCTCAAAACGTGCGGTGCATGTAACAATAAAATAATTCATTATTTGCGCATTTTCTTGTATTTTTTGGAATATCTTAAAGCACCTTCAAATATCTAAAATGTTTGAAACAAGTAACTGGCTGTTGTGAGTGACGTGCATTGTAAGCGAGTGATATACATGGGTAATTTAACTTCGATAGACGAGAAAATTAATCAAAAATGGAAAATACTTTGAAAACTGGCTTCAAATGACATTTTCCTGAGTTTCGTATCATATTTGAACACAGATTTAAATATCTAAAATGCTAACATCCGGAAAATCTTCAGTAAACACAAGTTAACTAGCACTAGACTATGTGCCTGGATTATGTGCGAGTGTTGTGTTAAGGTAGCCTTGTAATATATATTGTCCTTATCAGAGTGTGAACCTCTGCCAGTGTGTCGTGGTGTGGGAGTCACCATGGATTATATGTTGTCCTTCCTTCCTCTGCCAGTGTGTCCTGGTGTGGGGGTCACCATGGAATATATGTTGTCCGTCCGTCCTTCCTTCCCCTGCCAGTGTGTCGTGGTGTGGGGGTCACGCTGACATGGTCCCTGTCGTCATCCAGGTAACTGTGTCACAACCACGGGATGGCATATGGTGTGTATGTGTCACTATAGTGATACAGGACATTGACACCCTTTTCCCGAACACCTGGTGTCACTGATATATGAGCATGCTGATATATTACACTCATATATGAGCATACCTTAACATCAAGCCGAATCTGTTTCTGAGTGTGTATGTTTTTTTGAACTGACATATATCTGTTGCCAATCGAATTTTATATCGCACCAAAGAAGAGGAAAGACCTATATTTGAAATAGTTAGAAACGATTTAGCTCACCTGACTCATATGAAGTAGGCGCGTGTTATTTTGGTTTCGAAATTGCCACAGAGTCGTATTACGATACATATATGGTCAACCTGCAGTATCCAGCATGCACCTCATCCACAATGTTAAACTTCCGTGGCCAACCGGCCATACTCTAAGGTTCATTAGGGTTAATTACAAGCAGGCAGCTGACCTGTACATGGCTGTGCTGATGGTCATGATAAGAAGCTGCTGATATGTCATGTATATTGTCAGCACTGTGATTTAGATTTAGATAACGCAACTTTAACTTAACTCAGAGAATATACAAACATGTCTATATTTCCCGATAAAACCCATACCCCGCCAAAGCGCCTACGATAATAGTGTCTGAGCTTCAGGTAAAAACATAGTACAGGATCCTGTTTCCAGATGAGATGCGGTTTCATCTGGACAGGCCCCCAGGACAACGTTTTAGTGGCGCTCTTGTCTTTCCTCATCGTCGTCAGTTTGAATGAGTGAGTTGGGTTTTACGACGCTTCTATCAATATTACAGCAATATCATGACTGGGGACGCCAGGAATGGGCTACATTGAACCCATGTGGGGCATCGAACCCAGGCGTTCGACGTGATAGAGAACGCTTTAACTACTGGGCTATCTAAATGCTCATTAAATTAGTAAAGGCAATTGATAAACAATTTCTGCTAAACTGAAGTAAAGCTTCCAGATGTAAAACTGTGTAAAATCACTTGATCGTCTCGATAATTTGCAGGCCGCCGTCACGTGACTGGCACATTACGTGTCTATACAACAAGCATACCAACAGGACTTTCACAGTGTTGGAAATATGTCGATGAACAATAGCCCCGGGGGCAGGTATTTACGCCCGCTGCTAACTGCACTTGCTATACGTGCCATGTAAAGTACCATACAGACCTTTGTCGGGTAACGTTGACTCTATGCGGGGAGGTTAAATCACTGTGCAGTGGGCCGCAATCCTACCACGGGTATAAGCCGGTCATTTCTACCCGTTTAGTGTAAAGCAATAAGATTGACATTTTCCAGAATGTATGTAAGAAAAGGACCAAGACCGGGCGTGTTTTCTGCGCTACTTCTATGCTCATTAAACTAGTTAACTAATGAAACAATTTCTGATAAATTGAGATAGTATTCCCGGATTGACACGACCTGTTTTCCTTTCACGTAGTAGGCACGTCAGTTATGTATCTCCAAGGATGGTCGCTCAACAGGTGTGGGGATCATTGATGTGTAATACTTCAGGCAAGGGGAGCAGGTCTGTGAATCATTGATGTGTAATACTTCAGGCAAGGGGAGCAGGTCTGTGAATCATTGATGTGTAATACTTCAGGCAAGGGGAGCAGGTCTGTGGATCATTGATGTGTAATACTTCAGGCAAGGGGGGCAGGTCTGTGAATCATTGATGTATAATACTTCAGGCAAGGGGGGCAGGTCTGTGGATCATTGATGTGTAATACTTCAGGCAAGGGGCAGGTCTGTGGATCATTGATGTGTAATACTTCAGGCAAGGGGGCAGGTCTGTGAATCATTGATGTAATACTTCAGGCAAGGGAGCAGGTATGTGAATCATTGATGTGTAATACTTCAGGCAAGGGAGCAGGTATGTGAATCATTGATGTGTAATACTTCAGGCAAGGGAGCAGGTCTGTGGATCATTGATGTGTAATACTTCAGGCAAGGGAGCAGGTCTGTGGATCATTGATGTGTAATACTTCAGGCAAGGGGGCAGGTCTGTGAATCATTGATGTGTAATACTTCAGGCAAAGGGGCAGGTATGTGGATCATTGATGTGTAATACTTCAGGCAAGGGGGCAGGTCTGTGAATCATTGATGTGTAATACTTCAGGCAAGGGGAGCAGGTCTGTGAATCATTGATGTGTAATACTTCAGGCAAGGGGAGCAGGTATGTGAATCATTGATGTGTAATACTTCAGGCAAGGGTAGCAGGTCTGTGAATCATTGATGCGTAATACTTCAGGCAAGGGGAGCAGGTCTGTGGATCATTGATGTGTAATACTTCAGGCAAGGGTAGCAGGTCTGTGAATCATTGATGTGTAATACTTCAGGCAAGGGGAGCAGGTCTGTGGATCATGATGATGTAATACTTCAGGCAAGGGAGCAGGTCTGTGGATCATTGATGTAATACTTCAGGCAAGGGGAGCAGGTCTGTGGATCATTGATGTGTAATACTTCAGGCAAGGGAGCAGGTCTGTGGATCATTGATGTGTAATACTTCAGGCAAGGGGAGCAGGTCTGTGGATCATTGATGTGTAATACTTCAGGCAAGGGGAGCAGGTCTGTGGATCATTGATGTGTAATACTTCAGGCAAGGGGAGCAGGTCTGTGAATCATTGATGTGTAATACTTCAGGCAAGGGGAGCAGGTCTGTGAATCATTGATGTGTAATACTTCAGGCAAGGGGAGCAGGTCTGTGGATCATTGATGTGTAATACTTCAGGCAAGGAGGGCAGGTCTGTGAATCATTGATGTGTAATACTTCAGGCAAGGGGAGCAGGTCTGTGGATCATTGATGTGTAATACTTCAGGCAAGGAGGGCAGGTCTGTGAATCATTGATGTGTAATACTTCAGGCAAGGGTAGCAGGTCTGTGGATCATTGATGTGTAATACTTCAGGCAAGGGGGGCAGGTCTGTGAATCTTTGATGTGTAATACTTCAGGCAAGGGGAGCAGGTCTGTGGATCACTGATGTGTAATACTTCAGGCAAGGGGAGCAGGTCTGTGGATCATTGATGTGTAATACTTCAGGCAAGGGGAGCAGGTCGGTTTCAGTGAAAGTAGGCTGGGAGATGACCCAGTGAGCTGGCCGACAGACTGAGCCAGCGTTCGGCAGGTACAACAGGAACCATGTGCTACAGAAACTAGACCAGTGTGAGGTGGTTTAAGAAACAAAGCCTCAAGGTGTTCCACGTTACTAACCACGAGACAATCGTGTGTCGCTCGTTACACTTGGCATTGGAGTGAGTGACTAAGTTAAAATTTAATGTCACTTCGGCAATATTTCAGCCATATAGTGAACATAAACAATAAATTTAAGTTACTAAAAATCAGAAAATCAGTCATCGAAGGACTGTAAAATAACTAGAGTATCACAGATGGTGTCTAAAACTAGCATGAACATGTAAAACTATCTTATTTACGAAGACAATACAATATAATAACGGGCTATAGATCGCCAACAACTGAAGGTAGATCACCATACCAGGGACCATGGGGACGTACAGTGCCTTTGCTACCTGCATGGACCCTAAATGGATTTAGAACATCCCTTCAGCCGCTGGCGATCGCAGGAACATTTAGCCGACTGTTAAAATAACAAAAATACTACGTTTTAAAAATCTGATTTAACTTTGAAGGTATTGGGACTTGGACACGGTGCAACAGGAATATGTTTATAAGAGAGAACATGGACATCCATCATCCATCAATCCCTTCCCATGCCATTCATACCTACCATCCATCCTTCCATCCATCCATCCTGTCATCCATCCATCCATCCTGCCATCCATCCTGCCATCCATCTTGCCACCAATCCATCCTACCATCCATCCAGGACAACTAAGGCATACAAGATGACCCAGGTACATTTGATTACCCAAGCAGTCATGTCTTAATACCACCACACCCGTTATACACGTAACAAAACCGGATCAGTGATAATACGAGACGCAAGCAGGTAAGATATTACGAAGATATTTCCCCCGACGCGGACACCTGTTGGGAGCCATACCTGGAGCAGGCAGTGACATATCAGCTGGTCACGTGACACAACGCGGTCCAATGCAGGATGCACCACGAATGAAGCTTAAACAGATCGTCATCGTGGTGAGTACAATCTGTAATTAGTATTCATTAACGCAAGATCGATTTCATGTCAATAGTGACCTGTTGTTACGAAGGATGACAGTCACAATCATAATAAACTTTCCAGTATACTGCAGACTGAAAGTTGATCAGATTTGTCGTACACACATTAATAGATGAAGGGATGGTGTACATCAAGCTAGGGCCCATGTAGGAAGCAAATGTACTGTAAGTCCCCATGGTTCCTAGTATGGTGATCTACCTTCAGTTGTTGGCAATATATAGCCTGTTTTTTACCTTGTATTGCCATTTATAGTTAAACTGTTTCACATTTAATTACTAGTTAAAAATTCGATTCTGTGATAGTGTAGTTATTTTACTGTCCTTCGTTGACAGGTTTTTACAATTTACCATTCATTACTATGTATAAAATTATTTGTTCTCGTCACGATATTGCCGAAGTGACGATAAATATTAACTCACTCACTGACTCACTGGGTTTCTTTGTATTTTCAACCACTGATTTCCTTGGATTTCTTCGTATTATCAACCACTGATTTCCCTGGATTTCTTCGTATTATCAATCACTGATTTCCCCTGGACTTCATCGTGTTATCAACCAGTGATTTCAATGGGTTTAATTGAATTATCAACATCTGATTTCCTTGTGCTTCATCGTGTTATCAACCACTGATTTACCGGGATGTGATTATATTATCAACCACTGTTTTATCTGGGTTTCCTAGTCTTGTCAACCCCTGGTTTACCTGGATTTGATTGTGTCCACTGATTCACCTGGAGATGTTTGCGCTGTCAACCACTTACTGTTGGGGATGGAGAGAGGGAGGTCGAGAGAGGGGAGGGACGGGAGCGCAGTCTACTGGTTCGCTCGTCACGCCATAGATCCGGGTACCCTACATACGTACAATGTGAAGCCCATTTCTTGCGTCAATTTCCGCGAAATCACGGAAATAAGGCAAACAGTGGCGTAAAATTATGTCATTCATTATATCAACCACTGGTTAACTGGTAGTTATTCGTGTTATCAACCACTGGTTAACTGGTGGTTATTCGTGTTATCAACCACCTCTAAACTGGTAGTTATTCGTGTTGTCAGTCACTGATATACCTGAGTCTGCTTTACAGTGTGGCACTGCCCCTCGAGCTGTCGATGTTGCACTCTTTTACCTGGACGGTCCTCTATTCTTCCTGTTTAAGTATGGTACATTAAACACTGACTTCACAACGAGCTGTTCTCATTACAGTATCTCTCAACTAGGGCAAGTGGTTAAAACAATATGTCACTTGCGTTCAGACATATCACCTGACATGGGGGCAGTGCAACGTCAGGCATGTTTGGAGTGGACTGATAAAGAAAACAATGCCAGTTCATTCTTCAGTCTACAGAAATTTATAGATTCGCCCATAGGGGTGAAAGGTTGTCGTGTATCGACTGAAGAAACATAAAGGAAACAGTTCGCAATCATGTAAATAGGGCTAGTGATATGAATAGCTTTCTGTGAACAGTTTTCAGTGTTGATACTGAATAATCCTGCTGGTAAACGATCCCGTTATCTGTGACCCCCACACAGAGTACGCTACCCCCAGGCTGGATTCTCGGGGAACACGCTCTACACGGAAAGACCCAGCCGTCAGTATCGTGTCACTGATAAAGGACACATTGTTGGCTTAGCACTGATTTGTGCTTGACAGCGTGCAATGTGGGGCGGTTTCGGGTTGTGTTGGGTGATGGTGTGTGGCTGTGTTGAAGGTGTTTGTGTTTAGAGGTTGTGGGGTTGCGCTTGGGAGGTGAGGATGTGACTTTGGCAGTTGTTGGGTGGTGCTCGGAAGGTGTGGGATTTGTGTTTGGGTGTTGTAGGATTGTGTTCGTGAGGTGTGGGGTTGTGCTCGAGAGGTATGGGGTTTGTGTGTGTGTGTGGGGAGGGTTTAAGGAATCTTGTAACAAAAGACAACCAAAATAATTGCAACCAAACAAGAAATACAATTATATAGCAGTGAAGAGAGTTTACAGTGTTGGTCATTTGTTGCTACTTTATGCCCCCCAAAAAATAAATCGTTTGCATAATTTAATGTGGAGCGGTTCTCCGCCAAACTCGCCATACACCATAAAGTTAGGAGTGGAGCTTCGAAGACCAACAGCGAATTTAACAAATCTGGGATGTACTCTTTAAGTAATGTTCCGGTTTTCAAAACCCCATACTTCACAACTACAAAGGAGAATTTGTTATATTATAGTATCAAATGCTTTTAGGGTAAAATCAATTGGTAGTTTTAAATTTCGGGCTTTTTTTTCAAAAGAGCAAACATAGCTTTATTTGCATTTCTACAAGCGCTTTGATACCTGTCAAGAACTTACCATTTCTATGTCACCTTAGGTCAAGATAATAAATCGAGGATACTAAACGACCTTGTGTGTAATACCATTTTTATTAAACGAGTTAATGATTTGGTATCAAACAAGCAAAAGCGAGTTTTATGAAAATGGCATTTCATGGAAGCGAGTTTAGTATTCTGTTTATTACTCTCCGACATACGTTGGTAGAAACTGTAATGCGAGTAAAACTGTAAAACTTTCGGGGAGTCAAACAAGGTCTAATACAATTGTGACAGAGATATTAACGTTGTGACGTCATAACTGTAAATCACTATGACGTCATACGTACGGCGTTACGCCATGTAATATTATTAAACAGTGATATCTTCAAAGGGGGAGTTATAAGTATTTTTATCTTAAATTCATGTAAAATACTTTAATTTCATTGGTCAATGACGGTTTAACAGGAGGGCGACAACCGGAAAAAATATTACCCGCTGCCACGGTATCCGCCAAGCTCTCCGCCGAGAAGCTGAAGCACTAACAATCGTATGACGTCATAATATGACGCATGCCGTGCCCGGAGTTCGAAAACTGTTCGATCAGCTGTTTATGTGTTCATTTTGTACAGATTTATTTTACCCACTTTCACTGCTTTATTTAAGCTATTTTATACATTGAGTGGTTTGCACACTCAACTTATACATTATTAACAATTTTTATAGTAGTTTTATGCTTGTCAGAATATGTTCCACTGATGTTAAAAATCCAGTCGAGAGGCAGACGCCATTTTGTTTGCATGACATATAGTCGGTAGCGATCTTTAACATAAAATAAAATTATATTTTGTACATTTATCATTGCGTATGATCCCCCTCGGCTCGGCTGACACTGCCACAAAGCGGCGTACATGAGACCGTTTTACCCTCGAGAGAAGCATGTAGCTTATAGTACCTACTATTTCAATTTTACTGTAAGAAGGGCTACATTTTTGCATCCAGTGACAACAGATGATATATGATTATGGCACATATTTCTAACGAGCGTCAACAATTTGCCATTGATACCAACTTGTAGCATTTTATAACACAGCCCTGCAAGCCATACGGTGAAATTAATAAATACACAATAAAGTTTACGATTAGATAATTTTTACTGATAATTCTAAAACTGTATTCATAATAAACATATTATCGGCAGTGGAAAACCCTTTTCTAAATCCTGCAAGTTTAAGGATATTAGTGATTTCTGCGAAACAAAACTGTCACCAATGGCAAATATACAGAGTCAAAAAAGAAACTTCACATTCTTTCTTCAGGGCACTATAAAAGAACAAGAGATGGTAAGATGGTTACATTGTTATTATTTCATTACTGAGATCTGTGTGATGTACTCGATACACTGACAGTGCCATAATCAGTTCCATTAGGCTACACCGCCATTCAAAAAATACAGAATGTCAAGTCACAATAATAAAAATGCGAAATTTATCAGTTCAGTATCGTGTATGGCTGCCCCGCGCATTCACCACTGCCAAACATCGTCTCCTCATCAACTGCCTGATGCTTGTGAACACGTGGTTGGAGATTCTGCACCATTCCTCTTGCAAGGCAGCGCCAAGTTCCTGCAAAACCTGAGGTTGGTTCCTAAGACCACGAACCCTTCTCCCAAGTGCATCCCAAACGTGCTCTATTGGATTAAGGTCAGGGGACCTCGATGGCCAGTCCATGACGTTGATTCCAGCGTTTTGAAGGAAATTTCGTGTCAACATCGCGGTATGCGGCCGAGCATTATCATGCTGGAAGTGTAGACCTTGGCCATGAGCCGCCATGAAAGGAACGAGTTCAGGGGCGAGCACCTGGTCGCGGTAAGCAGCAGCTGTGAGGTTTCCACGGATGACCAGAAGTCGGGAACGGTTGTTCCCACAGAAAGCACCCCACACCATGCAACTTCCACCCCCGAATCTGTCGACTTCCTGTACACAACATTAGGCGACGTCGTCTCCAGACTCTATGCCTGCCGTCCGCGAATCTGAGGGTAAACCTGGATTCATTGCTAAAGACGACTCGATTCCAGTCTCTCTGGGTCCATCGGAGGTGACGTTAGGCCCACAGCAGACGTTGACGTTGATGAAACGGCGTCGATATTGGCCCACGATATGGACGTCGAGAATGGAGATTGGTAGCCCGCAACCGATTTCGAATGGTCTGTGAGGACAGTCGACCTCTAAACATCTCAGCCCTGGTTCGTGTAGCCGACAGACATCTGTCACGTAGCTGACGTAGGACAATTTGACGGTCTTCTGCTCGTGACGTCAAACGTGGACGACCCGACCTTGGGCGATCAGAAGTGGTGCCAGTTTGTTGTAGACGACCTCGCAAGTCATACACAGTACGACGGCTGCATCCCATTGCTCTTGCGACGTCAATAACTGATCTTCCCGCTTGCAACAACCCAACGGCACGTTCACGTTGCACATTTGACAATCGTGGCATTTCAAGTACCGTTAGAACTGTGGTTTAAAAGAGTTTTTTTAATTCTTGAGGCCAATGTAAACACGTGCATATGACGAAAACTTCGATGCGAAGATCACGTGATCGACTGCACGTGTAAAACCCGATTTGGCACTAACGTCATTTGCACGACGAATGGATGGGTTTGAGTGGGTTTTGCTAACGTTTTTCTAGAGTCGAAAGATAGGGATCCCATTTCGGATACATAGATGTATCATCAGCGACAAATTATTCATTATTTTTCAAATTACATTTTGTGAAGTTTCTTTTTTGACTCAGTATTTATGCATCTTTCTATTTGTTTGTATCACAAACCTGTCACACATGCCAGCGGTGAGCATCTTTGTATTTATTTGAATGCTGACTTTGTTTCCATTTGCAGGTCCAGATCAACCAGAGCCATGATAATCATCAATCTTATCCTGTTGATACTCAGTGAGTATTTGAGGAAATCATTCATATGGCGGTCACAATCCGTTTACGCCGCTTTCAGCAATATTCCAGCAATATCACGCCGGGGAATCACACATTGGAATCACAATGGGGAATCGAACCCGGGTTCTTGGTGTGACGAAAGAAAGCTTTGAACACTAGGTTACCCCTGGTATTGCCACACTGTTCTGGTATTGCCGCACTGTTCTGGTACTGCCGCACTGTTCTGAAATTGCAGCACTGTTCTTGTATTACCGCACTGTTCTGACATTGCTGCACTCTTCTGGTGCTGCCGCACTGTTCTGATATTGCTGCACTGTTCTGGTATTGCCGCACTGTTCTTGTATTGCCGCACTGTTCTGGTATTGCCGCACTGTTCTGGTACTGCCGCGCTGTTCTGGTATTGCTGCACTCTTCTGATATTGCCACACTGTTCTGATATTTCCGCACTATTCTGGTATTGCTGCACTGTTCTCATATTGCCGCACTGTTCTGATGTCCCTGTACTGTTCTGGTATTGCTGCACTGTTCTGGTATTGTCGCACTGTTCTGATATTTCCGCACTGTTCTGGTATTGCTGGACTATTCTGGTATTGCTGCACTGTTCTGGTATTGCCAAACGGTTCGGATATCCCTGTACTGTTCTGGTATTGCTGCACTGTTCTGATATTGCTGCACTGTTCTGATACTGCTGCACTCTTCTGGTATTGCTCTGCTGTTCTGATATTGCCGCACTGATCTGGTATTGCTGCATCGGTCTAGTATTACTGCACTGGTCTGATATTGCCGCATGGGTCTGGTATTACTGCACTGTCCTGGTATTGCTGCACTGTTCTGGTATTGCTGTACCGTTCTGGTATTGCTGTACTGTTCTGATATTGCCGCACTGTTCTGATATTGCCGCGCTGTTCTGATATTGCTGCACTGTTCTGATATTGCGGCACTTTTCTGGTATTCCCGCACTGTTCTGGTACTGCCGCAATGTTCTGATATTGCCGGGGCGGTGGGGTAGCCTAGTGGTTAAAGCGTTGACTCGTCACGCCGAAGACCCGGGTTCGAATCCCCTCATGGGAACATTGTGTGAAGCCCATTTCTGGTGTCCCCGCCGTGATGTTGCTGGAATATTGCTAAAAGTGGCATCAAACTAAACTCAGTTAGTCTGATATTGCCGCACTGTTCTGGTATTGCCGCACAGTTCTTGTCTGGTATTGCTGCACTGTTCTGGTATTGCCGCACTGTTCTGGTACTGCCGCACTGTTCTGGTATTGCCGCACTGTTCTGATATTGCTGCACTCTTCTGATATTGCTGGATTATTCTGGTATTGCCACACTGTTCTGGTATTGCTCCACTTTTCCGATATTGCCGCACTGTTCTGATATTGCTGTACTGTTTTGGTATTGCTGTACTGTTCCGATATTGCCACACTGTTCTGATATTGCTCCACTGTTCCGATATTGCCGCACTGTTCTGGTACTGCTGTAATGTTCTGATACTGCTGCACTGTTCTGATATTGCTGCATTGGTCTGGTATTACTGGACTGGTCTGATATTGCCGCATGGGTCTGGTATAACTGCAATGTCCTGGTATTGCTGTACTGCTCTGGTATTGCTGTACCGTTCTGGTATTGCTGTACTGTTCTGATATTGCCGCATAGGTCTGGTATTACAGCACTGTCCTGGTATTGCTGTACTGTTCTGGTATTACAGTACCGTTCTGGTATTGCTGTACTGTTCTGATATTGCCGCACTGTTCTGATATTGCCGCACTGTTCTGATAATGCATCACTGTTCTGATATTGCTGCACTGTTCTCATATTGCTTCACTGTTCTGATATTGCTGCACTGTTCTGATACTGCCGCACTGTTCTGGTATTGCTGCACAGTTCTGATATTGTCGCACTGTTCTGATATTGCGGCACTGTTCTGATATTGCAGCACTGTTCTGATATTGCCCACCGTTCTGATATTGCCGCACTGTTCTGGAATTGCCGCGATGTTCTGATGTTGCTGGACTGCACCGATATTACCGCACTGTTCTAGTACTGCTGCACTGTTCTGATATTGATGCACTCTTCTGGTATTGCTGGACCGTTCTGGTATTGCTTCACTGTTCTGACATTGCCTCACTGCTGTGATATTGCCCCACTGTTCTGGTTCTGCGGCACTGTTCTGGTATTGCTTGACTGCTCTGGTATTGCCGCTCTGTTCTGGTATTGCGGCTCTGTTCTGGTATTGCTGCGCTGTTCTGATACTGCCGCACTGTTCTGGTATTGCTGTACTGTTCTGATACTGCTGCGTTGTTCTGATATTGACGCACTGCTCTGATATTGCCGCATGAGTCTGGTTTTGCAGCAGTGTTCTGGTATTGCTGTACTGTTCTGATATTGCTGCATTGGTCTGGTATTATTGCTGAACTGTTCTGGTATTGCGGCTCTGTTCTGGTATTGCGACTCTGTTCTGGTATTTTACTGCGCTGTTCTGATACTGCCGCACTGTTCTGGTATTGCTGTACTGTTCTGAAACTGCTGCACTGTTCTGATATTGCCGCACTGCTCTGATATTGCCGCATGAGTCTGGTATTGCAGCAGTGTTCTGGTATTGCTGTACTGTTCTGATACTGCTGCACTCTTCTGATATTGCTGCACTGTTCTGATATTGCCGCACTCCTCTGATATTGCCGCATGAGTTTGGTATTGCTGCACTGTTCCGATGTTGCCGCACTGTTCTGATATTGCTCGACTGCTCTGATACTGCACTGTACTGATATTGCAGCACTATACTAGTATTACTGCACTGTTCTGATATTGCTGCACTGTTCCGATGTTGCTGCACTGTTCTGATATTGCTCGACTGCTCCGATATTGCCACACTGTTCTGGTATTGCTGGACTGCTCTGATACTGCACTGTACTGATATTGCAGCACTATACTAGTATTACTGCACTGTTCTGATATTGCTGCACTGTTCCGAAGTTGCTACACTGTTCTGATATTGCTCGACTGCTCCGATATTGTCGCACTGTTCTGGTATTGCTGGACTGCTCTGATACTGCACTGTACTGATATCGCAGCACTATACTAGTATTACTGCACTGTTCTGATATTACCGCACTGTCCTCATATTGCTGCACTGTTCCGATGTTGCAGCACTGTTCTGATATTGCTGGAATGCTCCGCTATTGCCGCACTGTTGTGGTATTGCCTGACTGCTCTGATAATACTGCACTGTACTGATATTGCAGCACTATACTAGTATTACTGCACTGTTCTGATATTGCTGCACTGTTCTGATATTGCTCGACTGCTCCGATATTGCCGCACTGTTCTGATATTGCTGCACTGTTCTGATATTACTGCACTGTTCAGATATTGCTGCACTGTTCTGATATTGCTGCACTGTTCTGACATTGCTGCATTGTTCTGATATTTCTGCACTGTTCAGGTAATTTTTGCACTGTTCTGATATTGCTTCACTGTTCTGATATTGCTGCACTGTTCTGATATTGCTTCACTGTTCTGATATTGCTGCACAGTTCTGATATTGTCGCACTGTTCTGATATTGCGGCACTGTTCTGATATTGCTGCACTGTTCTGATATTGCCCACCGTTCTGATATTGCCGCACTGTTCTGGAATTGCAGCGATGTTCTGATGTTGCTGGACTGCACCGATATTACCGCCCTGTTCTGGTACTGCTGCACTGTTCTGATATTGATGCACTCTTCTGGTATTGCTGGACCGTTCTGGTATTGCTGCACTGTACTGGTATTGCTGCACTGTTCTGACATTGCCTCACTGTTGTGATATTGCCGCACTGTTCTGGTTCTGCAGCACTGCTCTGGTATTGCCGCACTGCTCTGATATTACCGCACTGTTCTGGTATTGCTGCACTGTTCTGGTATTGTTGGACTGTTCTGGTATTGCGGCTCTGTTCTGGTATTGCGGCACTGTTCTGGTATTGCTGCGCTGTTCTGATACTGCCGCACTGTTCTGGTATTGCTGTACTGTTCTGATACTGCTGCATTCTTCTGATATTGCTGCACTGTTCTGATATTGACGCACTGCTCTGATATTGACGCATGAGTCTGGTATTGGAGCAGTGTTCTGGTATTGCTGTACTGTTCTGATATTGCTGCATTGGTCTGGTATTATTGCTGGACTGTTCTGGTATTGCGGCTCTGTTCTGGTATTGCGGCTCTGTTCTGGTATTGCTACGCTGTTCTGATACTGCCGCACTGTTCTGGTATTGCTGTACTGTTCTGAAACTGCTGCACTGTTCTGATATTGCTCGACTGCTCCGATATTGCCGCACTGTTCTAATATTTCTCCACTGTTCTGGTATTTCTGCACTGTTCTGATATTGCTTCACTGTTCTGATATTGCTGCACTGTTCTGATATTGCTTCACTGTTCTGATATTGCTGCACTGTTCTGGTATTAACGCACTGTTCTGGTATTGCCGCACTGTTCTGCTATTTCCACACTGTTCTGGTATTGCCGTACTGTTCTGGTATTGCCACACTGTTCTGGTATTGCTGCACTGTTCTGGTATTGCTGTACTGTTCTGGTATTGCCGCACTGTTCTGGTATTGCTGCACTGTTCTGGTATTTCCGCACTGTTCTGATATTGCCACACTGTTCTGGTATTGCTGTACTGTTCTGATATTGCAGCGCTGCTCTGATATTGCCGCATGAGTCTGGTATTGCAGTAGTGTCCTGTTAATGCTCTACTGTTCTGATACTGCTGCACTCTTCTGATATTGGTGCACTGTTCTGATATTGCCGCACTGCTCTGATATTGCCACATGAGTTTGGTATTGCTGCACTGTTCCAATGTTGCTGCACTGTTCTGATATCGCTCGACTGCTCCGATATTGCCGCACTGTTCTGGTATTGCTGGACTGCTCTGATTCTGCACTGTACTGATATTGCAGCACTATACTAGTATTACTGCACTGTTCTGATATTGCTGCACTGTTCCGATGTTGCTACACTGTTCTGATA